ATGATTAACAGGAGCAACATTAGGATCAAATCTGTAATAACACTTCACAGCAATATGGCCAAAATGACTACAAATCTGACGTTAAGACTTTGTTACCAGAAAAACCACGTCCATGACCACCTGGACCTCGACCTCCTCTACCATTAGATTAGACCCACCACCACGAGAAAAATTCTAAAAATTACTATTACCACTACCTTGACCAGACTTAGGGCCATGTTACCACGTTCAGATGTTTTAATAGATTTTTAAAAAATTACTGTTAATTGTGTTAAAAAAAAATAGTTGTTACAAAAAAATATTTGAATATTTAGTAAACTGTAATTATATAAGTATTGATTTTAAGAATCTTATGAGTATTATAAAAGTTTCATTAATTATACTTTAAAGTAATTGTCGCACAATTTATTTCTGATTTTAACTGTAAATTCTTTAAAAATTATTTAAAAATTATTTTTTATAGATTTTACTAAACATAAATTTCAGTTACATGACTAGAGAATTAATTTTAGACTCTAAAAATCACTACCAAAGGTACCTTTATCGGTGAAGAAGCATTTCCTCCGTTAGCAGTGTTTTGAGCCATATTAGCAGACACATTCCCCTCAAGCAAAGTGTTGTTTTGTTCCAGACGAGTCTCATAAGCAATTAACCAGGGCACTGACATCCCTAAGGCTATAAAATTCAGTTGTTGAAGTCAGAGAATCCACAAATGAATCATATTCACTACCAAGACTAGTGAGAACATGTAGAATGAGATCTTCATCACTAATTTCATGACTTACAGCTCTTAAGAAATCAGCATGCGACTTTGGAGACTTTAGAGACGTTCATGAATTAGAATTATAAAATTAAAATTATTTTTAATTTATGTATATTTTTTATAAAAAAAATATTATAATAAATCATGTATCACGATTTAAATTAGAGTAGGAATTTCTCAACTAAACAACCCGAACATCTTGAGCAGATACTCAGACACAGACATAGACCCTTTCTTTTGAGTCTGAAGTTTATGTTTAAACTGAATCACCTTTGCTTTAGACTTTGTTGCAAAGAGCTGCTTGATTGCACTCCAAATATGAGCAGAAGTATGACAGCCAACTATCTCTGGCAGAACTTCGGTAGAGATTGAGGACAAAAGCCAGCACGCATAAGTTGTTCCTGCCGTTTCCAGTGAACATAAGCTGGATTCTCAAATCGACGATCGCTATCGCCTTCGTCGGGAATCATGTCTTCTGTACATTCAATGCCGCCATTGATGAAACCTTCAAGGCTATTTCCTCTAATGGCGGAAGATACTTGTTGAAGCCAAATCAAGTAATTGTCACTGGTTAATTTGACAGAAATCGTATGACTATTCATTGTAAAATCGGCGGATTTGAGAAGGAGGATGAGATGGAAGTTGAAGCGGTGGAAGTTTCGAGAATAGTAACTGCTGGAGACGCCATGGAAGAATCTTCAGAGGTCTGTTGCTCCGATACCATGTGAAATGTCTTGAGATTTTTAGAGAGAAGTTAAGAGGAGGAAAAATTCTAGAGAGAGAAACTTTGGGGAAGAATTTGTATTGGCTTGAATAATTACACTAGACGGCAATATCCTTTTATACAACTCAATGGACTAGATCTAACTAACTTCAAGACTCTTTACTAGAAACTTCTAGCTTCTTTACAATGACCTTCAAAATCTGTTATAACAGATTCAGTTACAACGGGTTTAGCCTGTGCATAAATCTCAACACGTTCACTGAGATTCTGTTCACTTTACCAATTCGAGTTTAGAATTCGAGTTTTGTTACAGTAAAAAGTTCTCAGAAACAGTCACATCTAATTTTTTTACTACAGTAAAAGCTGTCACATAAAATCACATCTCAACTCGAATTACAAACTCGAATCAGCGAAGTGAACGGAGTCTAATTATATGCATTTTTTTCACTGTATTTTGTTTAAGGTGATGTCAATCAGCACTAGTTGCCATTTGTTTTCTTTTTACTTTTTTTTTTTCTAAAATTAATTGTTAGAGGAGTCACTTACCAATGATGTAGAAAAGATCCGAGTCCCACGCATTTCAATTCTTGATCAAAACGGGTAGTACTCAATAAGAATTTATTAATTTTGAAAAATTCGACAATTTGAAAGGATATATATTGTGTATACTTATATAAATATACATATATTGATGAAAATGCAAGGTTATATCTTATTTGTTGCATTTTACTTCAGCTTGTGGAAGCAATTTTATAACTTTCCCTTTATAAAGAGCGTTGTTAGTTTTATAAAAGAAAACGTAAAATAACCAATTGCAAAAAAAAAAAAAAAAAAAAAAAAAAAAAAAAAAAATTAAAACTATTAACCATCTTACCTCATGTCTAATATTTGTCTCCTTATTTCTTATTCTATTATCAAAGAAGAATCCGTTTATCCTTTACAGCTGTGCGATACATTTCACATTAACTTTTTTTTTTCCCCGAAACCTACGACACTTGAGACAAAACATGTGAAATGTTGGCGCATGTTTCTTTTTAGATATTTTTTACTTTTGTAATTTTTTTTGTCTTTATTTCTTTTTTTTTTCTTCTTTCTTTTTTTTTTTTTTTTCGTTTCTTTTCCACGCGCGTTTTTTAACTAGTTTTAATAATAATTGTGAAAAGCACGGGATATCAAAATAAATTTTTTGCATAACAAGAAGAGTGAAAAGCACGGGATATCAAAATAAATTTTGTGGATAACAAGAAGAGTTTCACTTAGATAAGTATGCATTAAAAAGTTAGCAATACTAGATTGGATTGAAGTTATATTTTTTAGATTTTTTGTTGCACGCTGCATATATATGAGTATGACAACCGTTCAGGAATTTTATGTATCCATATACGACGAATCCCATTTTCCTTGGTGAAAAGCGCTTTTATTAGCTAAAAGAATAAATATAGGACCCGTTCGGTTCGCTAATTTATGTGATGTTATGTGAGAATTTTTTACTGTAGTAAAAAAGTTAGATGTAACTGTTTCTGAGAGCTTTTTACTGTAGCAAAACTCGAATGAGTGAAATGAACGAGGGCCATAAGTTGCTCAATTTTTTTGTTCTTTCTTTTAAATTTGTGGATGAAACGATTCAAACTCTTTATATTATGGTGAAATTATGCGTGAAATTATCGTTAGATTATGTGTTTAACCACTTTTAAATCGTTTTTTTTTTTTTTTACTTCGTATCACTTTTCACTAATATTTGAAAACAAAATTTAAAACCACACATTTATTTAGTAACAATTATACATTTGAAATCCTTCCCAAAAGAAATAAATTCAACAGCATAAAATGTAACAGTTTTATTCATTATAATTTTTTTTAGTAGAACATTTTTATTTGGTTTGAGAACCAAAAAATAAAAATAAAATAAAATAAAAGTAAGATAAAAAAAAAAAAGAGTCATTTTAGCCATTACTCATTTGTCCGCATTACGTGAGACAAAAACTTGACGGGCATGGCTTTGAAAAACATAATCAAATGATTGGTTTGATTTCCACAAGTTGAATTAATTTTAAAAAAGTGGAAGCAAATTAGACAAATAATTAATTTCAAACAAATCTTTGTGAGATTTTTTTTTTTTCTAATAAAATCTTTGTGCGATTTCTTAAATCACTGGCAAACACCATGCAAGTACGACATATGTTTATCATAATGGTCGGCCATTTATGATAATGTTAACTAAATTATCCTTTTTATTTTTTTGTGTAGATTTCTTTTTCGGGGGGCTAATAATAAGTAGCTAACTACCTCTTGTCCTTATTGGATTTGTAACTTAATCCTAGTTGATCTTTATTAACTCCGATCGAGTTCATTAACCTAACCATGGTTTCAACTCTAGACATATATATATATATATATATATATATATATAAATATATATATATATATAGATATATATTACAAATCCTAGTTGATCTTTATTAACACCGATCGAGTTCATTAACCTAACCATGGTTTCAAATCTAGATATATATTATTTTTTATTAATCTATCGATTACATCCACGTGCAGCGCGCGTAAAGGGTGGAAAAACTATACCATATAAGCCAAAGTGTTGATTGCATTCTGTTTATATTTTGAATTATTTGAAGTAATCAAAAAAACATATTTTGTAGAGTAAATTGCATCATTGCACCTCAAATTATTCATTTTTTACATGATGCACTCTGAATTTTTAATTTTAACAAATTATACCCTCAATTTTAAAATTAATTAAAAATAAATTTTAATAGTTGATGACGTTATTAAATTGACAATTTAAAATACGAGATTTGCACTTAACATGATTTGAAAAATAAAGATATTTACTTTTTATATGAAAATCTTTTGCCTTAAATCGTCAATTTGATAACAATAATTAACTATTGAACTTCAATTAAATTGATTTTAAAGTTCATAATGCGGTTTGTCAAAATTAAAATTTTAAATTTTAAATTCATGTTAAATTTGTACTTTTGCTTAGTCAATATTAAATTTGATACCTTAACTTATAGATGAATATATAACCAAACATGAAGTAGGCTTTATGATTATTACAAAGATCTTTAAAGATGTATTTTCAAGCAAAACAATAGAAGGTATATTTTTTAATGTGTTTTATTACATGTTAATACCATAATAAACTATAAAAAACAAATTCATCAACTTCAGAGTCAACAATTTATTAACCTAGTAAATATAGAAAAGTAAGATGAATTTGAATTTGAAAAATACATTTCTAAATAATTCAAAAATACAAGATATATATTTACTAACCATATTTTTTAAACAAAATCGAAACACATGGGATAAAATAGTAAAGATAATATTCCCTTTTCTTTTAATTTAAGGTTTGTTAGTAGTTAGTGGACTAAAATATAAAAATCTTTTCTGATTTCCCGAGCAATAAAATAAATTTAAAAACAATTTAAAAAAAATATATTTGCTAAATCATAATAAGATAATATTATGCGAAACCCACACTTGTCCTTACTCCCTACCTCTTCTTCGGGCAGCTCAAAACACAAATCCTCTCTCACTTTTTACCATCGTCAGGACGCTGCCCGAACTGCCCGAAACCTTACTGGAAGAATTACGGGCAGTCACTCACCAGTACCCGCTCTCTCTCTCTCTCTCTCTCTCTCTCGCTCCCTGGGCTCTGATATTTCTATATCTTTGGTTTCTTTGTGTTTTCCACGATCACGATCGGACGGTCCAAAATGAACGGAGCCTCTGATGCTTTTTTCTTCGGGTTTTAGAGCCTGAAACTCCCAGATCTGCTATCTACGACCTTAGATCTCTCTTCCTGGTAAGAATTTTTCCTCCCAATTTTCCTTCCATCTTTTCCTTTTTCCTTTCTATTTGTCTCACCTCCACTAATCCACTTTCTTTTCGGATTTTCGTTTCTTCAAGGTTTAGTTTTTCTCGCTTCGCTCGTCAATTCCACGATCTCCTTTCCGTTTTCCAGGTTTGAATTCACCGAATTTCATCTCCGATTAGGTTTTTGACCTCTTATTTTTTTCGCTCGTCAGAAGTTTCTGGTTCCGGCTATTCCGACGAGTTTTCCGGTGAAAACTCTCCCTTAACTAGCCGTCGAAAGCTTTTCGCCGGCGATTTTCCTCTTCGCAGCTGAAAGTTTTTCTTTGTCCTTTTCCCTAGAAAATCTGTTACTACAAATACTTTTTATTTTTATTTTTTTCCCAAAAAACGCGATTTTTCGTATTTTTACAAAAATATTTACGTTTTTTGTTTATAGATCCGACGGCTGTAAAGATTTAAGGGACAGATCCGACGGCCAAGAGCTGACAACATATTATTATTATTATTTTGTTTAGTGGTTGTAGGTGTGAGTCGCTGTTTGCTAAAACAACAGATGGAAACTAACTACAGTTCGGTGGGAGTTAACGGCGCGCTAACGTGCGCCGGCGAGGCTTTAGCGGCTTTGCTTGTCTCGGCTCTGCTCAAAAGCCAGCTTTTGGTTCTCGTAAGTTTCTTTGAACTTTCCCTTCTAAATTTGCGATCTCTTTTCTCAGTTTTTTTTTTTTTTTTGGTCATTCTGTGCTCCCATGGTTTTTGCTAATATGCGCGTGTGTTTGTGGTTGGTCTCCATTTCATAATTTTTCCTCCATGTTCAGCCAAAAAAAAAAATCTAAATTATCCTTCTGTAATTTTTTTAAGGAAAAAGAAAAGAAAAGAAAATCTTCCTCCGCTTATTTAGGTGATTTTTCCGGTGTCATATTCTTTTATTATTTTTTTTGACCCTTTAGATTTTTTTTTTTTTTCAACTTTTACTGGTTATTTTTTGTTTTCCTCTAAATCTATTACGGATTCTTGTTAACCATAGTCCTTCGGACCGTTTATTTTGACTTGAGTTTGAGTTTGGGTTTGGTTGTTCTAGAACCTGTAAACTGGTGACAGAGGATTAGCGTATTTTATCTGCTAACTTACGCCATTGTTTTATTTTATTCTTATTTCTTTTTAAGGACTTTTTGTACGTTAACATAACATATGTTAAATATTTTTTGTCAGATCAGATCTGTTTGGTACATAAAAGTTAAAAAATATGTATATTTAACGATTAAAAATATTTGATTTACGGTGAAATTCTTTTCTTTTATTTGTTTTAGGGTTATTTTCACCCACAACCCCTGATATATTTTTTTTCCTTGCAACCCTAATGTTTACTTGACACGATTTTGGTCTCTTTCACTAGTAGTGTGGAGGGAATTGGATCATCGATCTAATTTTTCCGTTTTTTTTTTAATAACTAATTTTTCGGGTTTTTAGGGTTTCAAATCGCTCCATGCACTTTAACCCGTACTAATTTCGTAAAACATCAGGATATATTTCCTCTAAAGGTAAATGTAAAGTGTTCAAAACTATTACTAGGTTTTTTTTATATAGTAAATTTCTTTTTTTAAATATTGTTACGCTGGGTCTCTTTTTTCCCATGTTTTCGGTAGGGTTAGGTGCTGAAATTTTTTATTATTGTTATTATTATAATGATTTTTCACTTTAAAATTCGGACACAGAATTATTTTATTAAATGTGATTTATGGTGTCGCTTTGAGATCCAATATTATTATTCCTCAAAAAAATATATGAGTTTGTATTGTACTTGTACTTAATACACCGCGGACCGATCAGGAAGAAAAAAAAAAAAAGCACCGCGGACCCCACTTTTCGGTTTTTGCGAAATTGCTCGTGGGGCCTACTGACACTAAAAAATTTTGTCCTGTCGGGAGTGTTAGGATATCAAAAGTTAAGGAGAATCTATTACCCTACTAATGTTTTGGTTGGAATAGGTGATACTTGGAACGTGTCTATCCAGTGGTTTCTGTAGTTGTTGATTATTGATTATTGATTTTCAATTTCTTTTTCTTATTACACATGGAAATACATGTGTAAATCTAAAATTTTGTTTGTATAGAAGTCTAATAATTTGAATAAGGACTTTTTTTGGTACGTTAAGTCAATTATGGCCTCGTTCGTTTCGATGATTCGAGTTTAGAATTTGAGTTAAGATGTGATTGTATGTGAGAGCTTTTTACTGTAGTAAAAAAGTTAGATGTGATTATTTGTGAGAGCTTTTTACTGTAACAAAACTTAAATTTTAAACTCGAATCAGCGAAACGAACGAAGCCTATATCTCACCTACTAGTACATTAGCGTATTAAAGAATCTCCCTAATAATTGTTCTTCTATTTAAGATGGTTTTTATTTAGAATATTTAATAGGGACTTTTTTTGGTGTTCTCTTTTTTGAAAACATTGGTGTTCTCTGTTTATAAGCCGTTAAATCTGTATTTAATTTAATTAAAAGTTAAATCAGATTGAAAAATAATACAGATTCGGCGGCTGATAAGGTAAAAATACCAGTGCACAAGAGAAATTCCCTACTGTCCTATTTGATACAAAAAATATATATATTTTGTTATGTTTTTTATTGTACCCTCACTGATTTTTCTTATTCGCCTCTAAAGACAAGGATTGAGCTTCTGCTTTTTTCTTTTCTTTTCTTTTTTTATTTGTTTCTTTCTCCTTTTTAGGAGTTGTCTTTCCTAATTGTGTTTGAACGCTTTTGAAATTTGGTTCTGAAACATTCTCATGCCTAGGGAGATTTCTAGACAAAAGACAAATCTAGATACACGAGTGCACACCAAATTCATTCACGAAGTATTATTCACTAGACTTTAGTGTACCACATGCTACACCTCATTTGGTTATTGTTTCCTTATTCATCTGACTTCTTCATTTTCTTTTCCTACTTTTTTGGAGTAAGGAACAAAAGGGGGAACACCCAATGGTGCTTATAGGTTGGAAAGTGGAAACTAAGGAAGTTGCCACCTACCATCTCCAACCGAACTCCACGTTGGAGTTAAATTCCCCCTTTGGCCCGTGAAATCATCTCCTCCGGACTCATTTTTCTTCAACTCCATTTTGGAGTTTTCAACAGTGGAGCGTCATACATGGCGCTCCTCTATTCATATGGCGCTTTTGCGCTACATGATTTTCTTTTTAAAATTAAATTTTTTGAGTTTAAACAAAAATTGACCCATAAAAATATATAATAATTCATATTTTACCCTAATTGCATAATTTTCAACAAAATTTGTTCCTTTTGTATCTTTTTTTTTTGTTATTTAATGATTGGGAAAGTCTATGGTAGGGGATGTACTTTGCCCCTACCGGTAGGGTGCAATCCAAGAGTCAATATTTGATCTTAGTGAAGATTTAAAGTGTTTAATGTAGTCCTTACAACACCTGATTATATATTATTAAGAAGAAAAAAAACGCTTTGAATGTTTGAGTTGATGATTACGTTGAGGCCATTACGATTTCAAATCCACCAAAACAACTTGCAAAAGAACAAAATCAAGCAGAACAACTTAAAATATAAAACTTGCTCATCTGAGCATTAATTTGATTTCAAATTAATTTTTCAGTTGTTATTGTTGAGTCTCTAATTCTTATAAAGAAAAAAAAAAGTTTATATTTTCCTTCATTATTATGCATCTGGGCAAGCTATATTCTTTGCTCACATGTTTTAGGATTCCTGACTGATGTGGGTGGTCTCTGCAAATTTGGGATATGGTTTCTAGAGTTTCACCATATTCATCTTCTCTCCCTCTCTTTCTTCCCGTTTGTCCTGATCTGGAATCGCTCTTTTCTAGGTGTTTTTGTTATATGGAAGTTCTCAAATTGGGTTTTTTGATTTTGGGCCGCAATTACTTTTTTTTTTATTTTCTTCACTTTCAATTATAATCTTGTACTGGGTGTCTCTCCTATTTATATCGTAGTTCTCCTTTTGTTTTCATCTCAACTTGTTTGGATTATTCTTTGATGGGCTAAGAAGAGCAAAACCTGTTTATGGGTTTTGTCAGCTTACGGCATTCTCCAAATTGATCGATTCATAAATGTGATTGTTGTCTTCCATTTGATCGATTCATATGGATTGTTTTCAATCTTCAATATCCAAGATTATTTTTTCTTTAATGAGCTCAACTTCTAACAGCCCTTGGATCTTAATTCAACGGTCTTTATAATGTACCCTACTGGTAGGAGGAAAGTACTGCCCCTACCATAGACTCTCTCTCAATAATTTTATTTAGTTAATGTTGTTTGAAAATAGAACAACTCTTTCCTCGAAAAGAAAATACTCTAAAATAATGGGTTGGAGATGGTCAATCATATGCCTCTGCAACTTCACTCGTACTGACTTTTATCAGTGACAGCTTGAAATGAGTTCTGCTTTCTAGATAGATCATTCTAGTGGTTGAAGATTTAAAAGTTTCTGTCTCTATATTACAATTCCTTGGACATTACTAATAATAGAATCACTTTTTTTTACTTTTTCCTTCCACATTTGCATAGGACATTTTCTGCTCGGTTCTTTTATCAGATCCAAGATTATTCTCTTATAAAAAAAAAAATCATAAAAAAAAAGATTCTCCTCTTTATGCAATAAATTGAGCATCACTTCACAAAATGGGATTCCTAATAATGTCCCTGGTGTCTGCCTTGTTAAAGCATTTCTTTTCCTTTTCTGTTGGCAGCATATTCCACCACCACTACTAAAAGAAGAAAAGAAAAGAAAGTTTCATTCTTGTGCCTGGGCTATTTGCAAAACGAGTGATCCTTTAGCAATTAGACTTATGACATCCCCATTTTTGTTTTGTTTCACCAAATTTATTACTATTCCCTGTTTTTACTATTCATTACTTTTGAGCATAACCAATTATGAATCACGGACTCGGAAGTCCACTGAAAATGTTCATAATATTGCATTGTGCTTTTCCAAAAACTGGTTGCAGGATCTTTCTGGGTCCGTGCCAATTAACAAAGCCATTATCCAAGGAGACCTTCACACGCAGTGTGAGGGCGAACCAGCTGATGCTGAGGGGGATGACAATGAAGAAGATGGCGATGATGGAGAGGGTGGATTTGGAGAAGGTGAAGAGGACCTCTCGTCTGAAGATGGAGGAGATTTCGGGAAAAATTCCAACAAGAGTAACTCTAAGAAGGGCTCGGAAGGTGGAGCTGGAGGTGCCGAAGAGAATGGTGGGGAAGAAGAGGATGACGAAGAAAATGGCGACGATGATGACGATGATGACGACGATGATGATGACAATGACGACGATGATGATGACAACGATGACGATGGCGATGGTGAAGAGGAAGAGGAAGAGGTAGTTGTGCAAGAAGAGGATGAGGAGGATGAAGAGGATGATGACGAGGAAGCTCTCCAGCCACCCAAGAAAAGGAAGAAGTAAAACTAGCAGGCCACCGAGTCTGAGAGAGCCCCCCACTCCCGCAGATTACTACTCTTGTGACTTGTCGTCTAACTTAATGGTCTTATTTAGCTCGTGAGGGGCTTTTTCTAGGATGCTGTTTAATTGTTGACTACATTTTCATTTCATAATTCGAGCACTATATTACTTTTGAGCAGCGGCATTGATTAAATTTGAGAAAATGTTGTGTTCTCTGTTAAGCTAATATTTTAGTTTACATATTTTCTAACCCCACTTTATGGAGCCATCAACCATTATTATGACACCATTCTGGATACTTGTGAGGGAAGAAGCACAAGAATGTCCTATTCCATCAAGTAAATTATCTACCTTTGTCATCGAGGAAGTGAATGAATGCAAAAATATATGAAAGAGTACACTGCCTATGGAATTTAGGTGATTTTTGGTGCCAGAAAAAATAATTTAGGTGAGGAAAACTATAGAGGAAAAAGAAAATTATCATATTTTTTTACCTCTTTCAACCCCACCGACTTTATTATCGACTTTATCATGATTTAAGATATAAAATCCTGTGATTTTTTTAGAGATCTCACTCAATTCACCTCCTTTAATTTCTCATAGTAGACAATCCTAAATCTTAAGTTTATCCACTAATCCTGCCACCTTCATCCCTCCTTCCACTTTTTCTGCCTACTAAACAAGGCTTTAAGCACCGAATTTATTTAACAAAATCTGATCCTCCAAATATGATATTCTTGTCTAATATGACATCATTGTCTTGTCACTGCTTTTTCTTAATAGTCGACAGTGGGAGCAAGTTTCACCAGTTCTCAAGCGGCCAATGCATTTCAATAACAATAGTAAAGAGTAAAAATAGTTAGTTAGTCGGTTTATTATTATTATTATTATTAAAAGAGAACAGAATAAGAGGATAGTTCGGTGTGCCCATTGACTAGTAATAAAAGTTATTAATATCCTTTATCAAACAAATCCAGTTGAATCTAAACATAACAGCAAGTTTAAAAAGAATTGAAAGAGAAATCGGAATCTTATAACGATAAAATTATCACCTTAACATCTTTTCAAGTATTAACAGGAAAAAAAAAAAAAAAAAAAAGTAATTTAAGCAAACAAAAAAAAAGGGGCTAAACAAAAAAGAAGAGTAAATTCAAAAGCCAAGAACAGGCGCAAATTTAGAGTTCTTGGTGTTAGTTCTTTAACTTTCAACTTTTAAAAAATATATCTTTGACAGTTTTAATCCTAACCCTAAAATTGACAAAAAAAAAAAAAAAAAAAAAAAGAGGAAATATAACGGAGGCAAGCATGTTCTAATAGTGTGATAACTTAAAATTAAGGGGGGAAAAAAGCTACATTAAGGAACAAAGTATTCCAATTTTCAAAAGTTTTCGTTATTTTATACCTTATGTTATTGTTGCTAGAACGTGAGCATATGTGACTACTTCCATTAAATTCTAAAAATCCATCGTCAATTTTATAGCTTGGGACCAAAACTGCCAATCAAATTAAGTTGAAAAACTAATCGATCAAAAAGGCAAAAACTACTGAGAGGACCAAACTTTCAAAAGGGGTATTGTTGGTGGCAGTTCAGCGACCAACTAAACTTAAAAAATAAAAGTTATTTACAAAGAATCATGCTGTAGGCATCTAACCATTCCCATTGTACGCATTCGGAAGGAAAATAAGATATAGACCCCTAGTAATGAAAAAGAAAAACGAATACTTCGAAATTGAAAGCTGCTATTTTGGATTACGAAAGTCGTAACATTAAAAAAGTAAAAACAGATTTCACAAAACAACAATCTAGCAGCCTCCTCAAATCATTGTTTCAAAGGTGCACAAGGCAAATGTAAACCCGAATTACAACTTTATTCAAATTCATGTTCTTTTGTAAAATTTAAATTTAAACTCAAGTTTAAAACTAAACTCAAGTTTAAATTTTCACTTCAACTCGAGTTCATAAACTCGAACTCAAATTAATTAATAATATATTTTTTATTCTTAAAAATATCATAATTATTTCGTTTTAATTCTGGTTGAGATGATTTTTTTTCTATGCATTCACAACGAAAAGATGAATAAAATCTCACCCACATACCCTATTAAAATTTTTCATCACCATTGAGTTTTTATTAAAATACTATCTAAATACAAATTTAAATTTTAACCCACCCAAACACAAACTCAAAAAAATTCTCAATTCAAATCATAACTTAATGTGCACATCCAAACACAAACTCAAATTACAACTTCAACTCAAGTTATAACTCAAACTCAACTCAAGATTATCACTCAAAGTCACTCTAACTCAAAAATGAAAAAGAACAATTATCTCTTAAATTTTAAAAACTCATTTCCTCCGTAACTTTAAATTTCTCTCATTTAAATTCTTTTTTAAGAATTTCTGTTAAAATCAAATGAAAAAAAAAAAAGAAATTAAGTGTGACATTGTGATTTTTATAAGTTTACTTGTAACAAAAATTCAAATTCAAATAGAATGACTACATGACTGCATTTCTCTCTTTTTTTCTATCTGCTTTTAACATAAATTACAACTGAAGAGGCTAAGTGAGAATACTTAAAAATTGAAGGGGTAAAATGAAAGTTTTTAAAGTTTGAAGAACAAACTGAAAATGATCTTAAAGTTCAAGAATAATCCTATTAAATAACACAAAAAGACCAGCTGATGATCCTTCAAAGGAAAAGAAAATGAAGGGAAAAAAGAGGGGGAAAAAAAAAACTGAAGAAGAAGAAGAAGGAACTAGCTCTTAGTATCGTACTGCATACCAAATCATCCAATTTTAGACGGTAAATCATTTTAACCAAGATTGAGAGGGAAAACGAAAACGATAAAGGATTACAAGCTAGATATAACAAAAAGTAAAAATTGAGGGGATTAATTAAAAAAAAGGATGTGCAACTGTAACAACAAACTGAAAATCCAAATCTCACAAATAAGGAGTCAAAGAAAGTAATAGTGAAAAACAAAAATTAAAATTAAAAAAAAAATAACAGACCAAGGTCTTTTCGAGCTTGGGTAAAACTAAAAAGTTAAAAGAAAGCGAGAAAATCGATAAAGCTTCAAAATAATTAACTACTTTCTCATATGAAGTAATTGACCCAGAGCTAGTTCATAGGATCTAAACATTCCCCCAGAGAATTGCCATCAATCTTGAAGATCAGCTGCACTTAATCTGCAAATTTTAAGCTTAACCATGTAAGGAGAGAAAAACAATGAGGAAAACAATTATCTGCCTGTGAAATTAAAACCTTTGAAATATTACAGATTTAAACATCAAAATCTACAAATAAATAAGGAAAACGTTCATGCTCAAAAAAGTAAATCCAAGCCTGAATATGGAATTGCCATCTGACTTTAAAGATGGCAAAGTGAACATGACATCATAAGAAGGATTAGCAAATCAAAGAATGAAAAGGGCAAAATATAGACGCAATTACAAAAAATCATTGACTGGTAGGAATAAAACACAGGAGAAGATCATAATAACCAGAAAAAAGTAGCCCTTCTAAACATAAAGGTAACATATGATAAGCAATGAAATGCACAATGTGGCCTATGAAACTTGCCATAGGGCTATGTTGTTTGCTTAACAATAAACCGAAATCAATAATCAGGGAAAACAGAAAGAATCCAAATTCCAAAAGAATGAAAACCAGAAATTAACTCTAGTAAGAACAAGTTCATGTTCGGAAGAAGGATCCGTTTTAAAAAAGAAAAAAATGATTCTAAGGAAACGAAAACCTCTTAGCAATCTGTGTAGTATAAAGCTTCAAATATTTATAAAAGTTGTAGATAAATAAAAAGAGATTTTTGTCAAGAAGAACATAAATCATGACAAAAAGAGAAAATAAAACTTCTACAAGTTGAAAACCGCATCAAGTATCAATCTGGAAAAAGTGACAAAAGCCAAAAATAGCAATTGCAAATATCAAACTAACCAGTTTTCAATTTAAATACCTGATTCCAAGGAAACTAAAACCTCTCCTTAGTAATCTAAGTATGATAAATCATCAAACATATGTAATAAAATCTAAATATATGTTGAATGAAAATTGCTAAATGACTAGAAGAAAAGAAATCATGACAAAACTACAAACCACAAGTCAAAAACTGCATAAATCACGTTTAATCGTGTATGTGTATAAACAAACCAAAGAGAAGATGCCAGAACTCAAAACAACAATCAAATCGAAAAATATAAAAACTTGAATCACAACAAACACTCAATCAAAACACTACCAAAACAAAAGGCCAATAAACACAAAAAGTCAAGAAAACCGTGAAACACAAACGATGAGTAAAAAACAGACGCAAAGAAAACCAGTGAAAACATATCGTACCACGCGTAAGACGACGGGTAACCGGTGATGGTGCCACCGGTCCCCTGCGGTCTACTGGCAGACGCTGCTGGCTGCCCGAACTGCGCGGCACTCGGGTAAACCTGCGGCGGCAGCGATGCATTCGCATTCCCATTGTATGCGCCAAGCACCGAGGAGGTCTCTCCGCCCAAACTGCCGATTTGGCTCGTCGGAATCATTCCCGGATTCAGCGCCATTGGATTCACAGAGCCGGGAATGAACCCTCCGTACATCATCGGATTGAAAAACCCCAAATTCTGCGGCACCGCCGCCATCATCGCCGGATGAGGCTGCGGCGCAACCTGCGGCTGCACCTGCGGCGGAGCCGCCGCCTGCGCCTGATTCCTGCTCTTCCCCTCCGCCGCTTTCTGGCAATGCAATTGGTGCCCTTCGAACAGCTTGTACGGCTCCTGAAGCGCCTTCTTGAACCCTTCCTGAGTCCTATACACGAAGAGAGCGAACCCCCGCGATTTCCCCGTCTGAATATCGAAACCGATCGGACCGGTCTCAATTTCCCCGAATTTCGCGAAAAAAGCCCTAAATCTCTCCACATCGATGCCCGTCGGCACATTGCTGACGTAAATCTTCCTCGACGACGGTGCGTCCTGCGCCGTCGTTATCGCCGAAGGCGCCACTCCCGAAGCCGAAGCCGAAGCAGAAGCCGAAGCGGGACCCACGGACGCAAGCTGGCACGACGCCATGCGATTCATGATCTTTTTCTGAGGATTCCTCAGCGCCTTAATCGTGGCTCTTCGCGTCCTGAAGAGGACGAATCCGTAGCCCTTGGCTTTCCCGGTGTTCTTGTCCAACACCAAATTACACTCCTCGATCTCGCCGAACGGCTCGAAGGCGGTGATTAGGGCTTCCTTGGTGGTGTCCCAGCTGAGGCCATGGACGAAGATCTTGCGGTGGCAGACATCGCGATCGGCGAGCTCGCGGATGCGATTGAGGAGGGCGGAGTCCTTGGTGGCGGCGTCGCAGATGAGCTTGATGAGCTGGTCCTTGGAGTAGGGCTCGAGAAGGAAGGAGAGGTTCTCCGAGTCTGAATCGGAACCGGAATCGGAATCGGAACCGGAATCGGAATCGGAATCGGAATCAGAATCGGTATCGGAATCGGAATCGGAATCGTCAAAGTCGTCCTGTTGGGGTTGTTGCTCTGGGTCTTTCTGCTTTGTGGAAGGAATGGGGAATTCGTCTAGGGTTTTGGCCTTCTTGGCTTTGCTGATTGGGATTTTGGATTGGTCTGATTTCTTGATGAGTCTGCGCTTCCTGGGTTTCTCCGCCGTCGCCATTGAAGAAGGCTTTTTAGGGTTTCAGTGTTTGGAGACAACGAGACGGGGAACAGGAGTTTGGCCGCACAGCACTTGGAGTCAGCGGACACAGCGTTGGTTAAATATATAGAGAGGATTTATTTTGTTTTGGTTTTTCCTTTTTTTTTTTTTTGGTTAATATTACGGAGGTTCTCAAGGTTTTTTTTAAAGGAAAATTGCATTTAATTAAAAATTAATAAATAATTATTTTGGTACAACTATTAGAGGAATAGACACACGTCTGAGACTTAAAAATTAGAAAACACATCGGTACACTAACAACGAGCACACATAAAGTTTAAATTAAAGAAACCTCTCCCATCAAGATAGGCTTTTGAGCGCTGCAGGGACAGATCACCAAACCCAACAAAGAGAGGACATCTACACGACATAGAAAATTTTAACCGTACCAAGACAGCTCTATCATGAGACATATAAATGCCCTTAAGCTGATCACTAAAAACTAACAACAAATAGTAAAATAAACGAGGGAGACCACTGCCCTTATTATAAACACGAAAATTACATTAAAAAAAAGAAAAAAACCCATGACCACTGTCGTTAGAAGCCTTCGGTGAAGGGTAACCGGCCAATGGGCCATCAAGGGAGATAACTGACTAAGAGATCTTAGCCACCAAATGACAAACTCGCTTGGAAACGAATCTCATCCATTCGGCTTCCAAACTCTAAATCGGTTTAGATACACCTAAACGGAGCCACAACACTGTACACTGCCACCACAAACAAGAAGCTCGTGACAAGGTAAGTTAGAGGACTAAGTTTTATGACCGGGAGCTCGGCGACGTGCCCGAGGCGGCCCTAAAACTCCGGCTGTCGTTCACTCAATTTTTTCTCTGATTCGTGTGGGGGAGAGAGAGAAAGTTGAAAACCCTAAGGAATACAAGATCCTGAACTTTAAATTTTGTGAGGATTTAATTTTGAACTAATTTTATAAACAAAAAATCTCGCCGACTTAACTTTATTAGTCCTTTTCCATTATTTTCCTGATAAAATTTTGATGAATGTGAAAACTATAAAAAAGGAAGAAGAAAGTATTTGTGAATGTTTTCTGTATATTACGTTAATGGGAGATAATAAGAGTATATATAGAATATTACAAATGTGAAAACAATAATTGGTAATTACAATTGATTCTACAGGAAAAGGAAATTATCCTAAATTGATTTACATAATTACAAAAATAATGGTCAACCATATCAGCATGAATCTTTCCTTTAATACTCCCCCTCAAGTTGGAGCGTGGATGTCAAGAACACCCAGCTTGTGAACAAGTGTATGGAATGGAACTTGTCCCAATGCTTTAGTAAATATATCTGCAATCTGATCTTTGCTTGATGTGTAGGCCATTTTAATTTCTCCCTTATCAATGCGTTCCCACACAATGTGACAATCGATTTCAATGTGCTTTGTTCTTTCATGAAAGACTGGATTGGCAGCAATGTGTAAGGTTGCATGGTTGTCACAATATAAAGTCACTGGTTGTGAGTGATCAATTCTCAAATCCCGTAATAAATGTCTTAGCCAAGTTATCTCGCAAGTGGCAGAAGCCATAGACCTAATCGGCTGAAGATCTGGACACCGTGATTTGTTTCTTGCTTTTCCAGGAAATAAATGTCTTTCCAAGAAAGATACAATAGCTAGTTACTGAACGTCG